TTGTAATAAATGTTGATGATGTTATTAATCGTTTCACAAGTCTAAAAAAAAGAAATATAGATTTTGTATTGTAAATAAAAATTAAAAATTCTTTAATAAAAGTGCTTAAATCAATAATAAAAATGCGTTGTTTTTTTATGTCTAAAAAAAATTGTATTAATTGGTGGGGGTGGTTTACTCCTCTTAATATCGCCCCCCCCTAGGTGAAGGCTCAAATACGCCACTGATTCCTGATGAAGCTTACAGTATAATTGATGTTTATATTACTTTAAGAAATAAATTAAAAGAAGCCTTAGAGTAGATACCCAAGTATTTATTATATTCTTTTCAATTTATTTTATTCTTAAATAGTTAATAAGTAACAAAACAAAAAACTTAAATATTATAAAACAATTAGTAACAGATTCTCTCTGTATTATAATAAATAAACAAATCAGTCATTAAAAAAAAAGCTTAAGGAACATTAAATCTTTGTAATATAAATAATATAAATTTAGCAAAACAATTTATATTTATATTTTAACAGAAAAAAAAAACAATAAAATTACAAACTTATAGTTATAAGTCATGCTACATCCATAACCCAAACATTGGATGATAAAAGTGATGTTAACTCACATCTTAAATTTATGAAGCTATCGTAAGTCAAAGGCAAATCCAATGTATTAGTACAAGTATGAGCAACTGGAGATCGAGAAAAACCATCTTTCATAGAATTAAAGTTGACATTAATGCTAGATGTTATAATATCTGCTCCAGTTATGAAGCGAAGTAACTTTGTGCAAAGCATTTGATCAGCTTCACGAATAAATTTTTTCAAAAACCCAAAGATTTTACGCTTGACTTCATTGATATCTTTTTCTGGACAATATAGATTTTTTATTATATTTGTTGATGTTGGGATCTTATTTTTATATTCTTCTTCCAAACTATTTTTTGATATAATCATTTTACCTTTTAGCTCTTCGGACCATATATCAATAATATACTTTGGACGCTGAATTAACTCTTTATGCGCAATTTCGGAAATAACAGCATTTATATTATGTTCATGCACTAATAAACGACAATCAAATTCTTGAAGAACATCCAACAACTCTTCATGATCAATTTTAGAAAATTCTTTAATAGCACTTTTCAATAAATCTTTAGATTTTAAAGGAAGTGTGTTTAAAAAACCTTCTACTAAATCCTGTGTATTAGCTTTATTTTCACAGAGAACCGACTCCATAAAAGGTAAAGCTAAACTTATTGGTAGGTAATTCACATCTCTCCAACCTACATAGATTATTTTTGCAATTGCTTGCCATTCTTCTAACTGAAAATCATGCCTAATAGTTGGAATTTTCCAGTGACATCCAGTAGTGGCCATTTCGTAGAAGCTTGACCAAAACTCAGACATTACATCTTTATAAACACCTCCAAAATCTACAGCATTTTCTGAACGCGACTGGCGGCGGCTATAATATTATTCTTGTAAAATCATAGTATAATCAAACGTCCTTCCTGCTCCTGCACTTCCTCGCGACCGTGTTAAGAGTTTGATTTGTTTGATTTGTTTGATTTAAATATTCATTATTTTATAATTTATATTGACTTTAATCGTCACTCGAGTACTCGACTTGGATACGATTATACGAAGTTTTTTTATATCAATTGACTATTACCTATATCTCTACCAAATTCATTATGGCAGACAATGATGTGGTAGACTTTTTAAAAGCTTGGGATCTTGTCAAATACATCGACACCTTCCGTGGTAAGTACCGATACAATACTACAATACAATAATATAATCTTTACATTCAGGGACGCATTAAGGGGGGGGGGAGGCAAAAGGGGCATTTGTCCCGGGCGGAAGTTTTTTGGGGACGGTACATTTTTTGTAATTTTTTTTTTTTTGTAAAGAGTCAAAAAGAAAACATACAAATTGTATGACATAATGGAAAACTTGGGTTTAAGAAACAACTAATAATAATTAGTATTATCATACTAATGTACTATTAAACGTTATAATATATTATGTATATAAAATTATGTCATAGTATGAGATGGGCATTTATGTAATAACATATTATACATTTATACTTATACATGTGTCATGACGTATACAATCATACAGATAATTATATTTATATATATTATATATTTATATATTGTGGACTGTGGTAGCGTGTACGTGTGGTTTTAGTAATAATCGAATAGTATTTTGGTATTATAGTTGTCAGAATCATTATACTAATATATAGTGATAAATCATAAATGATACGGGAAAGAATTATTCCATAGTTAATGTGGAAAATTATTCTATTTTTAGTCATACCCGTATGGCCGTTTTATTTGCGTGTATTTTTGTTATTTCTTATTATCTTTCTGATAATATTATTATGTATTATGAGTTAAGCCGGATTTACACGATGATAGTAAAACGCGATAGTTGCTATCGTGATAGCTTCTCTCGTGAGAGTGTTATCGTGTAAACGTAACTGATAGTTACTATCGAACTATTGCGATAGTGCTATCACACTATCAAGCATGCATGATAGTTGGGAGTTCTATCGTGATAGTCCTATCGTTCTATCATCGTATAAACTATCATTGCGCCATACTATCATGATAGGTGATAGTCCATCAGCCCATGTGTTCGAGCCCACGTGTATATTGTGTATTTTGAGTTAACATCAAATTAAACTTATAAATTATTACCGGTTAAAATTAAGTGATGGCAGATAAATTCAATACTTTGCACTTTCTGGAAGAATACCAGAGGTATCCATGCCTTTGGGATAAAAATATTGAAGAATATAAAAGTAGAGGAAAAAGAGATTTTGCAGAAGAATGTCTCATGGAATCACTTCAAATTAATGATGTGAAGTTACTTAGACAAAAGATCAGAAGTATTAGGTAATTTGTGTACTAGTGCTAATTGAATGATATTTCTTTATTAGTTTACTGATTTTTTTTTTTTTTTCAGGTGTACTTACAACCAAGAAGTCTCTAAAATAAGAAACTCAAAASGTACAGGGTCAGGGTCAAAAACAGTTTATAAACCTAAATTGTCGTGGTTTGAATTTGCTAACAGCTTTCTTTGTAGAAATGTTGAGAATAACATACAAGTAGAAACTAATTTAGTAAGTAAAAATTAGTTGAAAAAAATAATAATATTTATTACATTATAATATATATACATTAATCAATCATTCTACTCTGCCAACTCACAGCTCCTTCACCCATAAAATGATCAGCAAATCTATCTCGTTTTTGTCTAGCTTCAATTAGATTATTTTGTCTGAGTTGATGTTGCTATATTGACAAGTCCACAAGGTCCTRGTTCATTTCTCCATGATCCAGATAAGATACGGCCTGTCTCATGATCTTCAATATCTACCGATATTGAGTTACTCTTACCACATTTTTTTCTCAACCAATTGTGCAATGCACATGAAGCTTTAACTAATTTTATAACAGATTCTGATAAAAGTGGTATTGGTTTTCTAAAAATCCGAAAACGGCTAGCCATTATTCCAAACCCATTTTCGACAATGCGCCTTGCTCTACAATGTCTGTAGTTATAAATTTTCTCTCGTTTTGATAATTGGTTTCTTCTAGCATAGGGTTTCATTAAATATATCTTTAGTGGAAAAGCTTCATCGCCAAGCATAACAGCTCCTTCTGGAATGTTCAATTTATTTTCTTCAATTGCTTTTCGTAAACTTGATTTTGCAAATATACCTCCATCTGAGTTACTGCCATAGCTTCCTACATCTATGCATGTGAAATTGTAATTATGGTCTACAAGTGCTAAAAGAACTATGCTAAAAGTCCCTTTGTAGTTAAAATAATTTGATCCGCTGTGTGCTGGACAGTCTATTATGATATGCTTTCCATCAATAGCACCAAATGCTGGAAAATTCCAAGTTGAATCAAAACCAGAAATAATTTCATTCCATTCATGTACTGTTTTAGGGACCTATTAAAAATTAAAAATTGACATTAAAAATAATTCTATTTATAAAAATATGATGTTTATATATTTAATAAAATGTATTAAATTATAGGTCATAAACGAAAGTGTAAACACTGCTATATCAGAGAATAACCTGGAGAATAACAATATTAGTTGTACAGAATTATCACCATGTGTCACAACACAGCCTAATGAAAATTATGAGAACCCTACTGGAGAAAATTCTAAGAACATTACATCAACAGCTCGCAAACCAAAAAAAATAAGGAAAATTGATAACAGTCTCGATAATGCAGTCGAAGCATTGAAATTTGTTTGCACCCAAAAATCAGAAGTAAATGAATTTAGTATATTTGGACAACACATTGCTACTCAATTACAAAAACTACCTTTACAAGAATCACTCAAGATACAAGTTGACATACAAAATATGTTAACTACTGCCCGTCTACGTATTATGAATAATACTCCTAGCAATAATATGAGTAATACAAGTACAAGTCAACGTCCAATTCCAAGTGAAATGTCTTTGTCTCACGACATGTTTGATTGCTCAGTTCAATCGGAACCATACGTGGATATGGTTAAACCTCTACCAGTAGCAAAGATGAACGCAACTATTATAAAATCACCATCCTATAACTATGAACAAGATGATTCAAGCAATACAATTACATTGTTTTATAACAATTGGCAAGATTTATAATAATTATATCTTGTTGATTTAAGTATCAATTAGTATGAAAGGATTTCAATTTTTATTTAATGTTGGTTTATATGTTATGTTATTTGTTTAATGAAAGGATTTCAAATTTTATTTAAATTTAATGTTAGTTAAACTAAAATTTTGTTTTTTTTAATAAACCTAAATTTTTATAATTGTTATAATATTTTAATAATTTAATATTTAATTAATACTTCCAATAATACCTGGTTATATTCTTTCAATCCTTCATATATTGCGTCAAAAACTTCTGGTAGAAACATGCTTATAGCTGATTTCGACACTCTATACAGGTATTCCATAGATTGTAATGAATCACCAGTTGCTAGATACCTTAATGCAACTTCTAATTTGACTTTAGCTGGTAATGCTTTGTATTGTACTGTATAAACAGTATTGCGTTTTTGAATTTTACAAGATACCTGTTAAATAAGCATCAATACATAAATATATTTGTGAATTGTGACTATTAAGTGACTTAATATAGAATTAGCTAAAATACTTGTAGACTTGTAGTAATATTTACATAATCATAATATACCTTGTTGAGTAAAAAATCGAACATATCTTCGTCCATTCTAAGAAAATTATTGTAGCTTTTAGTGTCTTCTGTGGACAGTTCTCTTAAGAGACAATTGAAGGCCCCTAAACTTCGTCTACTAAGAATCCAATTCTTTACCCATATTCTATTTTTTTTTTCATTTTTTCTTTTAACGGCAATTAACTCCTCAATCACGCGAATAATTCTGTATATCACTTCGTCTGACATTTTGATTTTTGATACAGTTCATGTAAAGCTATAAATTGCATTTAAAAAAACTATGATTTAAATAAAAAAACACATTTTTATAATATGCGAATATTACAAATACATGATCAACTATCATGTATGATATTATATTTGATAGTAAACTATAATTTTTGAAGCGTATGGATACTTCACTTTCATGACAGTAACTATCAGACATTATCACGATAGCAACTATCGCGTTTTACTATCATCGTGTAAATCCGGCTTTATTATTATTATTATACTGCATAGACGCTCAGTGACCGTAGTCATACGGCCTACGGATATGTAATTATATGTAATACAATTTTGTCGTCGGTTTTGTTTGTTCGTTTTGATTTTAAATTGTTTATACATTTTCTAAACTATGTCGGGGGTTTCAAATCATAAAAGAAAACCAAGTGGCGCAAAGTTTAGAAATTTGGCCAAGCAAAAGAAACAGAAAATCAAAGATTGCGTTTCGAGCTGTATGAAATTGAATAATTATTTTGAAGTTAAGCCAGTTAAGGTATGTAACTCTGAAATTTAAATTAYTGTTTTTAATARTACAAGTAGTACTTAAAATTATTTTTAATATTTTGAAATAAAATAAAWAATGATGAACAGGAAACTCAAACGTTTAATCTTTCTTCCACAAACTTGGAAAACGTGGAGAATGAAAATGATTTGTTGCTGCCTGGTTGTGAACCTACTGTTAGCACAAATACAGATAATAATTTGGTAAGTAAATACTAAATAGTYAAATCTTCTATAGTTCCATGTTTAATGTTTACTTTAAAGTCTATTTAATGATAAATTATTTTTGCTTAAAAAAATAATGTCTCAACTGGAACCTCAGTTTTTTAATATTCTAAGAAATGTRGAGAATGAACATTTTTTTGCCATCAAATTTTGAACCTGTTAACTTGGTTAGGTAACATTTACTAAATTAATATTTACCTAATTTATAATTATAATCATCGAAAAATATAACTACTACHGTCTACAGATAAATTTAAATTTATAAAAAACATATTTTAAATACATGATAAGAAGAAGTTATTAAATGAAACACAACTTAGCAGAGACAATATTAAATACTAAACTTATGTCTAATGAGTTAATTAATATAATAATTAAAATAATTTACTTTTTATACATTAATTTGTTGTACTATTAGTAATTTTGATACAATTGATATAAGTTAGTGATTACTGATTAGTGATTAGTAACTAATATAAATTCTTTTACAATGTGATTTCAGGAAGAATCTGCTGCTGTGCCTGACTTGGACCCTGCCAAATGGAAAATTAATTCAAGTTTAATAGACTATTTTATTTTGAATCAACCAATTCAAGATGTTAAAAAAATTAATTTTAATAAAACTGGACGAATGTGTGKAAAATATTTCCGGAAACTGCYTAGAAGTATCTTTATAAGAACATTGCATAATGGGCTAATTACCAATAGAGAGTGGCTCTTATACTCTTTATCAGCTAATGCATTATTTTGTTTMCAGTGCCTTCTTTTTTCTAACAAAAAAAGTAATCTTGGAAATTTAAAATTTGGATTAAAAAACTGGGGTAAATGTGGAGAAAAAGTAAAATGTCATGAAGAAGGCCAACAAAACGGCGAATCAATTAGAATTTGGTTTTCAAGAACACAAAAAAATGCTACATCAATTGATAAAATGTTACACGAAGAAATGAAATCAAAACTGGATTATTGGACTAATATTCTCCATCGAGTTATTGCAACATTTACTTTCTTGGCTGAAAGAGGACTACCATTCCGTGGTAAAAATAATGAATTTGGCTCATTACATAATGGCAATTATATGGGATGTTTAGAACTTATAGCTAAATTTGATCCTTTTTTGTCGGAACATATTTCTAAATACGGTAACCAAGGGAAAGGCAATGTTTCATATCTATCCTCGATAATATGTGATAAGTTTTTAAGTTTAATGAACAATTTGATTCTAAGAAAAATTGTTGCTGAAATTATTGAAGCTAAGTACTTTTCAATCATAGTAGATTCTACTCCAGATATCAGTAAWCAAGATCAATTAACTGTTGTGATTCGGTACATAAAACCAAATGGAAATTCTGAAGAAAGATTTTTAACATTTTTATCCTCTGTAGGACATAAGGGAGAGCAAATGGAGGAAGCGTTAATTGATAAATTTAAGGAATTGGACATAGACATAAAAAATTGCAGAGGACAAGCCTACGACAACGCATCAAATATGTCTGGAAGATATAATGGCTTACAAGCACGTMTTAAAAAATATTCTAAAAATGCTAATTTTGTACCGTGTGCAATTATTAATAAAATCAATTTTGATCCAAAAGAAACATTATTTCCTGTTACTTTGGCTACTGTTAAAGGTACATGCTACAAAATCAATAGCATACTAACTCAAGATATTATTGAAGATAATTTCAAATTTATTTCTGTCAAAAATATATATATTTACAGTTCTGATAAAATCATTTTTGAATTTATTCTATTAATTACTTAATGCTTTAATGAACATTTCTGTGCCTTTGAAGTGAAATTCGATGAATTTGTAGATGGTAATAATTTTATTTTCCAAAWTTCTTTAATTTCTCCTATACCAAACCATATAAATATTACTGCAGATGGAACTAAGTATATAACTTTAAGGAGTTCTCTGTAATGTATTGTTAACAAATTTGTAAAAATTATAACATTTATAATGTTCAGTATACAAGTCTAAAGAACACTTTTAGTAATAAACATTAATAAATTATCCCATTTATAATGTACATATATAATATTTTGTTTATAATTTGTTCTAAGTTTATTGTATAATGTATCAATTTAGTGTAAATATTATCATTATATTATAATATTTTATATCTGTATATATATTAATTATATTTTATATTATTATAAAATCATTTAAATATAAAATAGCACATGTGCAAATTATTTAATAATGAAATTGTTATTTTCCCACTCTTTTCCTAATACAAGGTTCATTAATATTGACTAATGTTTCAACAGTCAATGAAAAAAGAGGCAGCTCCAGAGGCTGCCCCTCCCCCAAGTTTGTATTACTGAAAAAATATTGTTAACAACAAAATAACATAAAAAAAAAAACATATTATAATATCAACATTTTTCTGAAAATTACTTCCCACCCCCTCCCAACAATGCCACTGGAACCGACCCTGAGTGAAAATTATATTTACTACTACAAAAATGTATGTATAATATTACAATATAATTTGTATAAGATACAATTCAATTTGGTTATTATTGCATATTAATAATTGTTCCCTTAACCAGAAATAAAGTATATCAAACATTACCATTTTGTTATCATTACAAAATGATTATACGTTGTTACTTCAACAATAGTATAAAACATACATCCGTTATTCCTACAGAAAATATTTTGCAAGCTATCATTTAGTTTTGTAAGGTGAACAAGAATGTATGTTTCTGTTACATTATTTCTGTAAGCATTACCAGATCAAGTTTAGTAGTAAACACAATTGCTATTGTAAAGACAACTAATAACAGCCAACCAGAATTGATTGGTATTCTTAATTAAAATTACTGCTGTTCCTGAGCCAACTGCTTTTCATTGTTGGAAAATTAACATAATTTGGTTAGCAGAATTAATTTATTTTTCAGTGTATCAAAAGCATCATTCATGAGTTTACAAAACTATGCCGTCGGTTTAGAATTTTGAAACTTTGTATCTAATGATTCACCAAATGTTAAAGCATTACTTACACTAGTGCTTAAAACTTGTACCACAATTTTAAATCATTATTTTTTGTTTATTTTTGGTTGTAATTGTCTACACAGAAAAAAAACTAAAAACATTTTACCTACAGATAATTTTTGTTTTACATTTCAATAACAGAAAAAAATTTTCATAAAATTTCATAATCTACAGTAAAATACTATTTTCAATAAATATTGATACATAAATATCATGTCATTAATTCATTATTTATAAATTATAAACATAAATAATGAATTATTTGATCAGTATTTAAAATGTATATAAAAAATAATCATTTTTACAACAGTACTATTACCTTTTTGGTAGCATTTTCAGAAATCAATGTTTTTTGTTCTAAAGTCTTAATTAATTGATCATAGGACTTGATTTTATTTTTTAATCTTTGGTTTTGAAGTTTTACATTTTTATTTTTTTAAGTGCARAATTGTGTTGTTTTTTTACAAATATTAAATTTTTTCTAGCTCTTCTTGGTGTAATTAAATTATMAATTTTAAGATTATTAATGTATCGTGAGTATTTAGATTTTGGGGTAATCTCAGAAAAACTGTTAATTATATCACAAATAACAAATTGCTTATACATATATTTAATTATAATCGTAAACAATAATTTATTAAAATAAATGTTAACCTTGTACTTTGTTCACTAACTAAGTCTACATGTGATTCTGAAATTGAAACTGGCAAATTTTGATCAACTTCAATACCCTTTTCTATATTAGGAATATCAAATGGCAATTTCCGTTTACAACTGTTAGTTCTACAGTAGAAATATTTTTAATTATTAAATTACAATTCATATAATTCATAGCTCTTGCCTCTTACTTTGTATTAAATATATCATCTACATTCACACTTGRCACAGCACTAGGATTTAATCTACCATTCATTAAATAATCCTGTGGCTTAAAATGATTGCTACAAATTCTATAAGAAACCAAAACATTTGAAATTGAACACTTGTTCATCCACAATGTTCTAATTTCTTCATCTGTTTGAAACCTTTTTGTAATCAATTGAAATTATATATTATTATTACTACAATATCTACTGMAGTTTTGTTATTAAATTTACTTGTGCAATTTTATTGGAGAATATTGGTCATTATATCCCCATTTACAAAATGGAAGGAGGCATTTATAAACCATATTGAGCAATTTTATTATTAAAATAATAATAATATATTAATGTACCTATAGTCTATAGAATACAAAATAAATACAGATTATTAAATAAAATATAAATTATTAAAATTTCAAAACTAGGAACAAATAACAGCTGATGTCTAATAACTGTATATCCACATTATACATAGAGCTTTTATAGTATGCACAATAATTTTTATATCGTGCACCGATGAACATAACAACATCAGCGCCCTCTATCACGATTCAGATTTTCTTTCACAGGGCCTATGAGTATAAGGTCTATGAATATAATAATAAGTAATAATTGTTTATGTAATAATTATAATTAAAATTTATATAAGTATAATAATTATACTCATATAAATTTTAATTCTTACCCTTTTATTTTTCTTAGATTTCCGCTTAATCAAAATCGTCAAATACTGTGGATCAAATCAATTTAAAACTTCCAACCAACATATATAATGAAGAAATCATATTACATTTTTCAATGTCATTTTTTATTAACAGACTATAAGTCAGACAACCTACTAAAAAAATTGCTGTTCCATCCGTTTTTAGTAAGTCATTTTAGTACAACATCAACAAATCTGATTAGACACATAATKTTTGGTACAATACATATAAGGTGAAGTTATAACGTTGCAGCCATCTAGAATTGTTGAGGATAATAGTAATTTCCCTTCTCAAGTTCCTTGTTAGTAATGAATAATAAAAGATAATTTATTTTAGAAGTTCCATTACTTTGTACTCATATTGTGATATAGATTAATGTTTTAGGTGATCTAAATACTAGTGTTAACTTTAAGCTATCTCCCTTAGTTGACACTATTAAGGATCTGGTAGAAGCGTRTTTGCCTTCTACAACTGTTGAGGACAATAGTAATTTCCCATCTCCAGTTCCTTGTTTGTATTTCAAAATTAATGATAAAAGATAACTTATATTAGAGGTTTCTTTACTTTATACTTATATTGTGATATAAACTAATGTTTTAGGTGATTCAAATACTAATTAGAATCTAGCAGATGAGTTGGAATGATATCCATTACAGTTGATGAAAAGGAACCACAATCAATGCAGTATAATTTTGTTAATTAGTTTTCCATAAAATATTCAAAATTAATTTTTATTATTTTATTAAAACTAGTTGACCGCCATGAGATCTTGTATGAGATCTCAACATACCTAGTCCTGACCGCCAAGGGGTTTTTCATAGGTTTACTCAAAAAAATTTGTGGACAAAACATTGTCTGATTTTATTAAAAAATTGTACTTATATTCAAAATTGTTCACCTTAAACATTGTTTTAGGTTATAACTTAATATAAGACGAGATCTCATATTAAATCTCATGGGGATGTCACCTCTTGAAAAACTAATATTTTGACCATTACCTTGAGATCTCAAACTAAATCTCACTATAAAATAGTATTTCAATTGAGATTTAACATTAAATCTCAAATAGAATTTTATTTATTTCTAAAATAATACATTATTTGAACAAAAAAAAAAATAATAATAATATTATGCAAACAATCTCTGAAAGTAGGTATTTATCTTATAAATTACAAAATAGTAACCAAAAGCATAACTTTATTTTGATAAAAATTATACAACAAATGAAAACATAACTTTAAAACTTTTGTAATTAACAATAAACTAATATTCAAAAAAATTCATGTAGTTTATGTAATAAAAAATATAAATTACAAAAAATAACTAATAATAATAATAAAATAATATTAATAAATTTTCTTTTATAGTACAATAAATATAAAATATATTTATGTAAATGATGATATAAAAAAATATTCTTATTTAAAACAGCTTGAATAAATTGCTGATCACTACTATCTAGTTATTTTGTAATTTTGTGATCCTTGATAAAACATTGTGTACAATAATATTTGTTACAAGCTAGGCATTTAGTTTGTACTTTAAGACTGTGAGACTGGGCGTATTTTCTTCCTTTTTCTGAGGACATGACTGAGTAACATATAAAACATCTGCTTTTGCCAGTTTTTTCTAGTTTGTGTTTGATAGTAGGTGGATTTATWAAAATGGTTTTTTTCTTATTAACTGTTCAACTAAAGAAGTTCGGAAATTAGTTATTGATATATTTGAATTTACAACTTTATTAAATAACACAAGAGAGTTAACTACAGCTATATTTAAGAGCCCATCTAAAGCTACTTTCCTGTACCACTTTAAGCTACCTACGTCTAAGAGGGTTTGAGTAAGAACTCATTTGATCAGAGAGATCAATTGACGCCTTCCCTGTATTGTAATCGATCACTACCTTAGGTTTCTTTATAATTTTTCCCTTTATGTGTTGTTCAACCATTTCGCTGTTGTGTTTTGTGGATATCATGTATAAGTCCCGTTTATCCTTCCATTTTAACACTAACACATTTGAATCACTTCTCATTGATTCAACCTCTCCTTTTTTCAATTTTTTTTTAACAACTTGTTTTGGATTAGATTTTCTATTTGATCTTAAAGTGCCTACTAGATGTGTTTGTCTTGTTTTTAATTTTTCGGCTAGCTCAACACTTGAGTACCAATTATCCACAAATAAAGTTCTTCCACAATCAAAATAAGGATTTCCTAGTTCCATAACAATTTTTGTTCCAACACTTTCTTCAATACTAGCCTCTTTGCCAGCATATACTTTAAGAGCAATGGTATAACATGGAGGAATAAATAGTTTAAATTCTTTTATACCGAATCTATCTCTCTTATTTTTTATATATTGCTTAAATGAAAGCCTACCCATAAATTTAACAAGGGATTCGTCAATACATAAATGTTCTAATGGCTGCATACAGTTGTTAGAATTAAGCATTATATCTTCCATAACAGTACCAAGCTTGTATAAGCGATTTGTATTATCAGTAGTAGAATTATCAGAAAAATGCAACATTTGCAATAATATTTCAAAACGATTTCGACTCATTACAAGCCCAAAATTAGTAGCAAATATATCAGAATTACTCCAATATAGTTCATATGAAGGCAACGAAACTAAACCAGTTCAAATCAAAAGTCCAAATAATTGTTTTATTTCTGTCTCATCTGTGTCAAACCATTTATTAATACGTACAAATGGTGATAATGATTTAGAAGCCTTTTGCTGTGCAGCGAATTTATTTGTTTCTATTACTATTTTATTTATAATTTCATCATTCACAATAAGCGTATAAAAGTCAAGCGGCGTTCCATGCATTAAGGTATCAAATAAATCAGGATTTATACCTGCATTTGTATCATGAGGATACAAAATCATCAATAAAATTATCGTCTTCTCTCCATTGACGATCATCAATATTCGTGTTAGGACGAATYCTTGGACGTCCTGGTCCACGATTAATTGTTGTAGAACCACCACGAGGCACTTACATGAGATACCATATCTAAAAAAAAATAATTTTAAATATATAGTGCAAATATTTGTTATTTATTATAATATTATTTATCAAAATTTGGATCATTATTTTCATCACTATGAACAATTTCATCTACTCCAGATAATTCACCTTCTAAATTATATATTTTTATAAATAATTAGTAAATAGATACAAGTTTAAGCAAAATATATTACCATCTATAGATACTACATTCACATGTCGGACATTATTAATATATTGTTTACTAGAAGTAGAACCTTTAACAGTAGAACATTGAACATTTAAGTTAATAAAATACTTTTATTAAATTTAAGGTAAAATAACTTACTTGTAGACATTATTTCAGCATTTTTAGCATCCCAATTGGGGTCATTATCACTGTCATCAGAACTAAAATCAAAATCAAATGAAGAATCTAGCATTTCTTCTATAGTTTCTTCATTCATTTTTTTATTTTGCAACAAATTACACAAAAAAAGTGAAAACCCGTTAACTTTCAACAACAACTGCAAAAACACTTTAAATATTCAATTTTGATAGTGATATTTTAGTAGTATCAAAGTAAATTAAGTAAAAAGTATGAACAGTTACCAATAACAACAGTATCAAACATTGCTTTATCAATGATTTTAAAATATTGATAAAAAAAAAAACTAATACCGGTATTTTCATGCTACAAACACCAAATTAAAGTGGTAACACTGTACAGCTAGAATCCGACGAGAAAATACCGATAATTGAGATCTAAAATGAGATCTCATTATTATAATATTCCTATAAGTGAGATTTAATATGAAATCTCACAACAAACTTTTAGTAATTAGTTGAGATTTAGTATTAGATCTCATAGCAAATTTAAGTAACACAGTAAAAAAACCCGTGGCGGTCAACGAGTTAAGTAATTCAAAATCACCATAAAAAAACTGATGTAGCATAAAATTTTGCAATTATTGAAATCCTGTTCACTTCGTTAAGTTATAATTTTGTGTTCATATAATTTGTTTTCGTGTAACCTAGCTAACTGGTTGTCCGAAATTGAAAAATTGTACATTCATCAGCCTTTATTAAATATTTTATAGGATTATAATAAATTATAATTTGTTTCATTTTAGAAAAAGAAAATTTTTTATTGGTGATTTTAATAGCCCAAGAAATCGATTACGGCATTGGTTACAAAATACAATTAAAAAGTATAAAAGAAAAATTCTTTTGACAAAAATGAAGAATAAAAGACTTTTAAATAAAATTAAAAAAAATAACTAATCAATCACCTTAAAAATAAAAATTTTATTTGAGACAATTGTTATTCAGTAATTAAGGTATTTTCTATGTTACGCATATTTTGTTAGACCAGAGACGGCACATTCATCAGGTGCCACATCCTCAAAAAAAATAATAAGTTGTTTGTCTATATTACTAATATATCTTTAATTTTTAATCTGTGCGATAAATGGTTTTATATTTTTTATTCGTGCATTGTGTTTATTTGTTAGATAAGGTTTATGTTGCCATTCAAAAATATTTAATAAATAATTTATAAATACTCATAACTCACTTTAACAACATCCTCCAAATAAATAATTAGTTCAATGTTGTGTGTCGATCTTACTAATATACCTTATAATTTTTAATCTGTACAATAAATGGTTCATATTTTTCTCACTCGTTGCTCAGACTCTTAGCTCTAGTGTAGCTGATGCATCCAATATTGTTCGGAAGTATTAATATGTCATAATTTACAGTTTGTTTACAACCATTGTCCATTACGTTTTGCAGACAAATAGATCACATTTTTGATTTTTTAAGTTCACGCAATTTCCTTAGTAAATCAAAGTCACCATATAAAAAACCATTGTTTCTTAAAGATATAGACTTTTGTCATAAGTTTATATCCGATTCTATACAATATTTAAAAAGCCTAAAAAATAAAGATCATAAGCCGATATTTCTAAGTTCTTGAAAAACTGGTTTTATTGGATTGATGATATGTTTAACAATTGTCAAACAATTATTATATGAACTTATTGTAAGTGGAAAGCTCAAATTTCTATTAATTTATAAGCTTTCACTGGACCATTTAGACTATTTAGAGATTATTTTCTCTGCTATACGAGCAAATGATGGATTTAATAATAACCCAGCAGAAACCCGGCCAAGTTGAAGCAGCAATGAAGAGAACTGGCGCATTAAGGGTTTATATATGGGGGTAAAATTATTTGCACCCCTGGTGTATTTTATGAATACTCATATATATGAAAGTATAAAAAACTTWAAAAAAAATTCTCGCTACGCTCAGAATTTACATTTTGTACAGTTATTAGGTATATCTACATAGAAATCATATGAGACTAATAAGTTCAGTGGCGGCTATCCTATAGTAAAGGTGTAGCATCTGCTACACCTGTAATTTTAGGTGGGTGGGGTGGGTTGTCTACGTAATTTTTCGTATACGAATAATATAGGATAATACTTAGGTTTATTTTAACAGTATGATTCATAGTATTATAGTAAGTAGTAACTATATCTACCTATATTAGGGTGGTCAGATTAAATTAAAAGAAATCCGGGACGATTTTAACTTGACCTAATCGTTTAATCTGACTTAATATTGTTAACCCTGCGTAGGTCGCGCGGATTACTATTGTAATCCATCTAAAAATAAATGGGTTTTTCGTATATTGAAAACCAATAAAATAATCTTATCTTTTCAGTACCTTCGAATAACATGTTGCTTAATATAATTAGTTTGTTTCCGAATACTGGTCGCAAAAGTTGTCGTTGTTATCAGAGTTCAAAGTGTGTTGGATTACCAGTGTATGCCGCGCGATCTTTCACGCCAGTTTTTTTTTCAGTTTATTTTATAATCAAAGTTTTTATTTATGTATTAATTATAAAATAATAATAAAAAAAATGAGCAACACAATCGATATTGAAAAATGGCTAGAAGAAGATGAAGATGAACTTATTAATGGAAATGACATTGACAGTGAAGATGAGTTGGAGGATCAGGTAGAAATTAATAATGAAAACACGGATACGGAAAATAGTGACTATGAAATTGAAAGTGAGTCAAGTAATGATGATGTTGGTCCAATATTACAAAATAAATATTTTTTGGGGAAGGATAAAACTAGATGGAATAAGCAAGCACCTACTAGTACCCATCGAACACGTTCTCATAATATAATTGTTCATTTACCTGGTCCAAAATCGACCGCAAAAAATATGAAAACTCATTTAGAATGTTTTTTTCTTTTTTTTGATGAAGTTGTAATAAATATTATCGTCAAAAGTACAAATATAAAAWTATCTTTTGTGAAGGAAAATTATGAACGTGCTCGAGATGCTAGGGAAACTTATGATGTTGAAATTAAAGCTTTGATTGGTATTTTAATTCTTGCAGGAGTTTCTAAATCTAGTAGACAAAATATATTTAATTTATTTGATAATTCCAAGGGAACTGGACTTGAGGCTGTGTATCTAACTATGAATGTTCAACGTTTTAGATTTTTAGTTAGAAATTTACGTTTTGACGATTTTACCAACCGCTCAGAAAGAAGCGAAATTGATAAATTGGCTCCTATAAGGGAACTTTTTGAAGTTCTAGTACAAAATTTTCAAAATAATTTTATTCCGAGTGAATATTTAACATTAGATGAACAATTAATTGCTTTCCGCGGTAGATGTTCGTTCAGACAATATATTCCAAATAAACCTGCCCGTTACGGAATAAAAATATTTGCTCTTGTAGACGTAAAAAATGCATATACATTTAATTTGGAGGTTTATGCCGGACAACAACCAAATGGTCCTTATAAAATGAATAATAGTGCGGAAAGTGTTGTCAAAAGAATGGTTCAGCCAGTGGAAGGTACTAAAAGGAACATAACCATGGATAACTAGTTCACTTCACTTCCAGTGRKAAAATATTTACTAACTGAAAAACAATTGACAGTAGTGGGGACTTTAAGAAAAAATAAATCATGTATTCCAAAAGAATTTTCAATTTCAAAAAATAGGGAAATAAATTCGTCATTATTTGGTTTCCAAAAAGATTGCACAATCACTTCATATGTCCCAAAAAAAAATAAAATAGTTATACTGCTATCCACTCTGCATAATGACGCTTCTATCGATCAAGACACAGGAGATCAACAAAAACCAGAGATGATTACATTTTACAACCAAACTAAATATAGCGTTGATAGATTAGACCAAATGTGTAGTCTATATGACGTTTCAAGAAATTCTCGTCGTTGGCCGCTTACCATATTTTTTAACCTAATTAATATATCATGTATAAATGCTTTAAATGTGTATAAATTTAACAATATCAACAATAAATGTAAAAGATCAGACTTTTTAGAAGCATTAGCTTTACAACTGATGAAACCGAATATTGAAAGACGTATTAAAAATTCAAAATTACCAAAACATATTAGGAGTCGTGGCATGAAAATTTTAGGTCTCGTTGAAGATACACCTATTATTTTGTCTGAACGTCCTAAGGGAATTGGTCGATGTTATTTGTGTGGAAGAGCAAGAAACAAAAGTACGAGAAAATCATGTRAACGTTKTTAYAAATGGGTGTGTCCAGATCATTTAAAATATATTTGTATTGGGTGTTGTGATGAAGAGCAAAGTGAAGAATCATCTTAAATTATTTCAAAATGTATTTTTTTTTTTATGATTAAAAGTTTTAACATGTTAACATTTATAAAGTACTCATTTTTTTTGTAATTGTTAATATAGAGAGCTAAAATATATGTAAAATACTTAAATATTAATATGTTTATACAGAAATATTATAAAAATTTAACTACATTAAGTATCATTACAATTTAAGAAAACAAATTCTAATAAATCATTATTTATTCTCATTTAAGTTAAAGTTCATATTCTAAAGTAAAAAAAT